AGGAGGGTGAAGGGAGTGAAGGGAGAGCAGGGATATGGGGAAAAATGAGAATCGAGATATGTCATGTAAAGGTACAAGGTCCCAACAATTAAAGTAACTGTACTGTATACTTAAAAAGTACCAATAACTCAATGAAAAAAAAAAGACATTTCTGCTTCACAGACATGCCTTTCTATGCCCCGAAGAGAAAGGACACAGTGAGAATTAAAAGCAACTGCAGCTTTCTTCCCTGAAAATCTGAGCAGAGTGGCACACATCTGTAACCCAGACAGTCAGAACAAAAAGGCAGAAGGATCACAACTTTGAGGCCAGACTGGGAAATTTAGCTAGAGCCTGTCTAGCTCTAAATACAATTTTAAACTCCGCCGCTCGCACAGGAGCCAGAGCGAGGTCAAAGCCAGCGGCTTCTCCACCTAAGCCCGAGAAGGGTCCCAGCTGCAGCCGCCGCTGCCGCCGCCATCTTCCGCTCCACTAGCGTGTTCCGGGCCGCGCCGGCAGCGCCGCCCCCCTCTGGCCACGCCTCTAGCCCCGCCCCACATCGAAGTCCTCACCAAGCCCCGCCCACATGGGCTCAAAGCCCTATGCAGTCACTGATTTGAGCGTGCGCAAATGTGGACGTAGTGTCTCCTGGGAGTTGTAGTCCTTGAGTTGTAGTAGTCTCTTTGGATTTAGACTTGACTGTCTAGAATCCAGGACCTATGAGGTTTCCCTAGATGTGGGATCTGGGTTAAATTACTGAGAATTGTCGGGAGTGGTGGCGCACGCCTGTAATCCCCAGCATTCTGGGAGACTGAGGCAGGAGGATCGCTGTGAGTTTGAGACCAGCCTGGACTACATATTGAGTTCCAGGTCGGTCTCAACTACATAGTGAGACCCTGTCTCACACACACACACACAAATTTACTGAGAATTACAGATGGGCTTCTTGGGGGTCTTCTTTTCTGTTTTAACCGTATCTTTTCAAAGTTAATAAAAAACAACAGCACTGTCCTTTTTTCTGTTTTTGCTGTACTGGAAATTGAACCCAAGGTCTACCCTTGAACTGCATCTCTAGCCTAGTTTTTTCCTTTTTGTTTTTTTTTTAAACAGGTTTCACTAAATTGTCCAGGTTGGCCTCCTGTCTTGGTGACACCACCAGTAGTCACATATTATTTTGTAGTATACGTATTTACAGATCTAATGACTCTTCCACAATCAATATACTGGAATGGTTTAGGGTGGCAGTCTATGGAAAGAAAAGACTTCCTGTTGTCTTTAAGTAAGTATTGAAAAACGTTATACATCTTTATCAGAGTAGAGGGGCTACTATGGACTCATCAAACAAGTGTTTCAAACTTTGCATGTGGTTCTGATAAATTGAGAGTAAATTCCACACCCCAAATTTCTTTGCTCTTGATCTTAATTTTCATGACAGTTCACCTGGATAAGCAAATCTTCACCTGGCCTCTGCTTTGGAAGCCTATGGAGGACAGACATGGAGGGCTAAAGACTTGAAAAAATGGAGACCTTTTTTTTCTCCTGCCACCTTGTTAAAGGAGAAGCCCCTGACAACAAAAGAAAGGCAGCTCTCCTTTTTTTTTGAGATCTCAGATCAGCTCTAACAAAGATATGCAGCTTTCCTCAGATAGTGAGTATTATAAGTAACTTTCATCTGAAGCTACTGAGGCTGAATAACAGCTAAATCTAGTGGGGAGTGGGTCATCTAATAGGAAGATGTGTTTGTATATGTGCAGGAATGTACAAACATGGGTTATATACACTGCCCTGTGGGGTGGAATATAATCCAGCCCCTAGTAACCTTTTGCATCCTATTTGGTGCCATATTCTTTTTTTTTTTTTTTTTTTTTTTTTTT